ATTTGTGCACTTTGGTTGTTTTACTTTTCAAAATGTTTTCGCATTTTGAAATTAAAATTTTCAATGAAAAATACGAAATTTTATTTTGGCAACAAAAGATTAAAGGGATAATTTGGCTAAACAAAAAATTTTAAAAGTCATAAATGACAAATTTCCCATTGATTTGACAAAAGCACAAAAAAAGAAAAGAAAAGAGTATGATGAACTTGATTACACTTCAATTATTTTATACCTATCTGACGCTATTTTGAAAAAAGTTGCAAAATTTAATTCTATAAAAGAATTTTAGAAAAAGTTGGAGAATTTATATTTGTTTAAGTCTACTCTTAATAAGTTGTATTTGCTTGAAAGATTTTTCAATTTTAAAATGGATCGTTCAAAGGTTCTTGATAACAATTTGGATGTTTTTAACAAACTTGTTCAAGATATTGTTAATTGTGATAAAATGGTCTAAAATATATAAGGCTATTATTTTGCAGAATTCTATGTTTGTCTCATATAGGGAGGTTAAGAATATAATAAAATATGTTAGGGACACCTTAATATCCGCGATTGTCATAGATTCCCTTCAGAGTAAAGAAATGGAGATTAAAGCAGAAAAAGAGGATAAAAGGAGTGGTGAGGTACATATGCTAAGGAGTATAATGAAGTTTAAGTAAATAAATTTGGGTAGAGCTCAAGATAGTAGTGACTCGACTGATAAAGATGGTAAAAAGACAAGGGTTGGGAAAAGTCCGATGGTAATCGGTGTTACAACTGTATTAAGTCCGGACACTTTATGAAAGACTGTTCCAAGAAGAAGGATAAGTGGTGGGTAAGATGGGAGGTGAGAGGAATGTTGCTTTTGGGTCGAGTGATTATCCTAGTGAAGTTTATTGAAAGTAAACCTACTTACTGTATGTGCATCCGTGTATAATCCTTTCCGCATGTGTGTGATTGCTTAATTCTATTGCGTGTTTATATGTTGCATTTCAATACATTTGATAGATATACATTTGCATGAACTTGAGAGCAATTTGATTATTCAGTGTAATGTGTTTTGCATGCATAGTTGGTCGGGATGTATTAACAGTAAGTGTGTTGTGTGTCTTTTGGTAAAGTTGAGTATAGATGTCTTAAGATACTTTAGTGGCTTGTACGAGGATGTTTGACATTTGGATCATAAATGGAAAGGTGGTGAAATGTTGAAATCCTTGATCATGTGGAGTGTGAGAGAGATACTTCTATCATTTCTACTCATGTTGGGAAAAGTGAGGTGGTGATAGAAGATTATCCCATGGATTATGATCTATTGTGATTTACCAGTTAAAAATGAGTTTGGTAACCAATATAGTTAGTAGGGCTAGGCAAAACCCAACCCAACCAACTCAACCGAAACCAACTCGATCGGTTTGGGTTGGTTTTTTAAATTCAATTGGGTTGGGTTGAGTTGAAAAAATATATTTGAGATTGGGTTGGATTGAGTTTCAGGTTATGATTTAAAATCCAACACAACCCAAGCCAACCCGATGAATTAAAAAAATATATATATCTAAGATGAAAAAAAAAACCTAAATAAACACAACAGTGAAGATATGAAAATGACTTATAATTTATAAACGTCCATTTTTTTTCTATATAGATTGATTCCTATGAACACAATTTACAAATGAAATCTCATTTCATAATAAAGTAAAAATTAAGAAGATGATGATGAAATGAATAAATCCCAAAAAATTGTAAAAAATAATAATAAATATTTCATAAATTTTAAACTTATTTATACATCATTTTTCAAAAAGAATTCCTTAAATAGGTATTTAAAAAAATCAGAGATTTTCAAATAATTTCAAACTTTAAAAATTTATCTAAATTTAACGAAAATATAATCGAATCCAACTTTAATTGGACCGAAACCCAAACCGACCAACCCAACCCAAACTTGATCGGGTTGGGTTGGGTTGACTTTAAATAAAACCGATCATGTTGGGTTGGGTTGGGTTGGGTTGGGTTGGGGTTGGGAAAAAAATCGACCCAACCCAACCTATGCCCACCCCTAATAGTTAGTATGATAGTCACGAGAGTAGATATGTGCTCTCGAAGTGTGAATAACACGAAATGGGATAGGATAAGTGTAATAAGATTTTTCATGAAGAAATTTATGCATTTGTTGCATATATGTTTGGTCGTTTATTTGATTAACTTGGTGGTAATCTGTTATTCTGTGAACGTGTCTGAAAATATCCGTGTTATCCTATATTATATTTTCATCGCATGTTGTATATGTTATTGATTGATTACTGTGATTATCTTTTTTTTCTTTTTTTCTTTTTTTCTTTTATTTTTTTTATTTTTTATTTTTTACCTTAGCCTTGGTGAGTATATGGGCAGGTATGGTTTTGTGTTTCGGGTTTGAAACACGATGTAACGTACGTGATTCCAATTTTATTGCTTAGCTTAATTAAGCAAGTAGTAATTTTGTGTTTTGATTGATTGCAGTTTGATTGGGTATCACAGTAGAGATTTGTTGAATTTTGATACATGATAATTTTCGGGAGATGGTGTAAAACGTTGAAATAAGCCTCAACGAATGGTGAATTGATTATCATCAATCAAGTCTAAAGGCTCGACCCGAAAACAACGTGGAGCATTGAAAGTAGCTTAAGAAATTAATGCGACTTACGTCCCATATATTTACCTATTGAACAGCTTTTGGATCCTGACCCATTTAACCCCTTTCTTAGTCCAACTAAAGCCCAATTTATATCTATATAAATATATGATTGTCTCGCCCCAGCCGTTTTTGTGTGTGATTTGTATGAATCTTGAGGAAAACCTAGCTGTTTTTTGGTGTGAGCTTTGTGGATAATTAGAGAAAACGTGTCTGAGCTTTTTGAGAGAAAAGGGCTATGCTTTGTGTTCCAAAATAACCGGTGACCACCTTTTTGCTTTGATCTTCATCTTGTGCTTTCTTTCATCCTTTTTCTTGTGTTTTTGTGGCTACAAATCAACTCCGTTATCTTGTACTTTGTGAGTGGGATTGAGAAGCAATCGATGTAAATATATTGGTTGTGAGTCAGAGCCATTTGTATTAGTTATTTGGTAAAGGAAATGTAACGTGAAACTATGTCCGAAAATCACCGTTTTGAAGATTTTGGGGCGAGCTTCAACAACAAAAGTGTTATGATTAACTATTCAGATTATTTTTAATATTGTTTGACATTTTTCTTATTTTCATCCAGGATGCGTTTGATTATTAATATTTTTTATGAAAAATGTCTTTTTTCTACTGAAAATCCTACTTTTGTGCTGTTTGATTGTCATTTTTTATGGAAAATATTTTCCTATTTCTGATCACGTGATCATATTTTTCTCAAAATCAAGAAAAATATTTTCTTTAGGGGTAGTAGGATTTTTTTCCTAGAAAATTCACCCACACTCTCTCTTTCTCATCTATTCACTTTCTCTTATCTACTTACTAATAAAAAACAAACAAGTATAATATTTTCTAAATTGAAAATAAAATCAATCAAACACATTTAATTAACAATTTTAAATAAGTTCTAGGCAATTAAATTACGTAGTATTTATTTTCTTTCCATACAAATTTCATACTTACAATCAAACGCACCCTAAGTCTTCCTTTTGTGTTAAGACCGTATATCCTAGACTTAGTAATTATGTTGTCAATTTGATTTAGATTTTTTGTTCAGAAATGAGTTATGGTTAGGAAGTCGTTCTAAACCTTTAAATATCATTTTCTCTACAATAACCTACAAACTTCTAGAATTTGATTTGTTAAGAATTTAAGGATTTCTTCTTATTCCATATTCTTATCATACGGGTGGATTCTATTCGTGTGGTGAGTTTGATCATTAAGTTTTAAAAAAGCGCTTATGTGGCATCTTTTTCAGCCTATCATTTTCAATTACAGCTTACATAAAGTTCTCTAGTAAAGCCCATTGAAATTGATGCTCATCAAAATGAGATTAATCTGATAACAATTAAAATTATGTTGGGTATGCAAATCAAGATTTTAACTTCGATAGTGATTGTGAAAATTGATTTTTTGACCGTTAGATAGAAAAGTGGGTCCCACCTGTAAGTGAAGAAATAAAAAATGACGGTTGGAATAATGAAATAAAGGTAAAAAAAAAAAATTGATTTTCTGTGATGAAAAATTACTATCAAACGGGGCTTAAAATTGGTGCACTTTGAAAATTTGTCCTTTTCTGGATTTTGAAATTATCTAATCATTATCGAGTTTACCATTAGCTTTGTTACTCCATCGAATATTACACATGCAGAATATGCTGGGGACAAGAGTATTGTTTTGACCAAGTCTCGTATTAGATAAATTGGAAAGCTACATGCAGTTTCATTGAGTAATGCCATTTTACATTGTTAGGGTAAATTTTTGGAGCATAAAACTATGATAGACGCTGTTAGCCGGCTGATCTTTCACAATAATTGACAGTTCCACACTATAAATACACTAATGTATCAGCACCATGATTACATCCTCTACCATTAAACAACACAAGCAAATTGACTAAGAAAACTTTTCTAGGTAGTTAAGGTTTCAAAATGGCCTCGAAAGCTTTCTTGATCGCAATCCTCATTTCAATGGTAGCTGTTCCATCTATGGCGACATATTATGTGGTCGGAGATGATGCTGGCTGGCAAGTGGGTGTCAATTACAATGAATGGGCTGCCGGAAAGAAGTTTTACGTCGGAGATACAATCGGTATATAAATAATTTTGTACTGAGCCCCCCTTCAAATTGTTTTGTATATTTGTGTGTTAAGATTTTATTGCTTCATCTAAAATCTTAAATTTTTAGAGAGATATCATGCTTATTCAATGAAGGTTAAAAACCTGTTTAAGCACTGAATTTATGAGTATGCCCCATTTTGGCCATCAAACTTAATTTTCTCATGAACTTGTTCAAAAATTGAATATTGCTTCACTTTAGGAAGCATGTTGAGGACAAGATATAAATGAATCAGTAAGGTCCTCCTCCAACATTACAGTGTGGTTGGAGCTTTATTTCACGTTCATGTATATGAGCTCCCTTATTTAACACTGGTTTTGGTGCAGTGTTTATGTACCAGCAGGGATATGAAAATGTTTTGAAAGTGGATGGCCCTACCTTCCAAAAATGTGTGGCATCAAACACGACCGGTCTTCTAACTAGCGGAAATGACGTAATTCTCTTCGGAACTCCGGGGAAGAAGTGGTACATTAGTACTGTCGATGACCACTGCTCCAAGGGGGTGAAACTTGTGGTCACTGTATGGGAAGCCGAAGCACCAGCACCCACCCCTATACCTCCCCAAACACGGGGATCTTCCGGAGCCTCAGAAGATTCTCACTTTAAATCTTTAGGACGGATGCTTAAGATGATCTTAGCTTAATGATGCAGTACACCTCTTAATTTTTATGCTGTGTCATGAATTTTCAAATTCCCTGTGGAGTGATAATTCAATAAATTTGAAATGAATAAATTTTAGACAGTATTTGATACTGGATTTGAAATGAAGTCAATATACGCCCCCACATTAGTGGATATTTACAAGACGAATTAAGCATGTTTGGAAATTATTTGTTTTAAATTGTAAATAGATAGAAATGAATGATGGATAAATTAATAAGATTTGTGAAATTCTAATAAATATATAAAATGTTATTTAACGGAAAATGTTACAATTTCAACACTTGCCAAACAAGGGCAATGTAACATGGTTGCCTTCCTTATCTTAACATGTAATATCTCTACTAGTCTCTAGAGGCAGGCGTCTACATTTGTTAAGGGATATAATCCCATATGGAATAAAGATAAAAATATAGACCAATTTATAAAGGGTTTGGAGTACTCCTCTTAACAAGGTTGACTTTTTAAAATGGAACCATAAGTCTTAACATAGTATCAGAGCCTATTAAGCTCTAACGAGCAATTCGATCCAATTAAGACTCAAAAAATGAGCAAACGAATTTCAAAATTGGTATGCTCAAAAGAGCTACCATCTTGTGGGGAATGTTAAAGGATATAATCTCACATCGAATAAAGATAGATATATAGACCAATTTATAAAGAGTTTGGACTAATCATCTTAACAAGGTTGACATTTTAATATGAAACCCCAAGTCTTAACATCCAACCCCAACAATTTTTGAATTTACATATATTCTCTTATTAATTTACAAATGAACAGGTTTTGGGTGTAGTTTTTTCTTGTACACTGAGGGATCAAACAATGTTTTGAAGTGATGAAACTTGTTACGTGTTCGCACATTTGGGCAACCCACCGAAGCCCACAGCCAATTCATGTCGAACCACGTGGCACTCAATCCGATGTGATTTGCATAGTCGAGACTCAAAAATCGAGGCCCATATACACCGAGGCCCATTTATCAGTGCCTCATGAGGAGCTTCCGAAACCCATATGCTGAGGCCCTTTGAAGGTGGACGAGGCCCTGTTTGCTGAAACTCTGTAACCGAGATGACAGCCTCCGAAGCACAAAGCAACTTCTTCCATAGACACCTCTCCCAAGAGACCTTCTGCACAAAGATCTTACTTGAATGATTGATAGGACGTTTGTCATGAGTGTAAATATTAAGTCTTGTCACTAGTAGAGGCGGTTCTGCCAATCAATAAATGTATAACAGGCTAGGTACGGTTGATGCCTGCAATTTGACATGTAACTCAACCTGATGAGGCCATATGTACCCCAAACCAAAGGTCACGATCTAACCAGTGACACTATAAATACTCCCCCATATACCCCATACAAAGGTAATGCAAGAATCAATACAAAAAACCCATAATTTACTCAACTCTCTCATTCTTATTAACTTACAACATAAATGAGCTCATACATATTTAGATACATATTAGCAAACATCGATTGGTAATTATTGTACAATCGGTCTACGATCATCTTGCCGGATACCGAACGTTCTTGTCTTGCGTTGTTGAGCTACTCCCACGCACTTGATCTGTCCTTTTTAGACCGTCCACGTATCTTTGCGTGTTGGACTTTCGCTTACATGAGCGTGGGTGGGTCCAGTATCTGTTAGCAACATTTATTGGGGTCAACAAAGCTGACTTCCAACAGTGTGCCACATCAAATATAATCGCTTCTTTGACTAGGGGAAATGATGTACTTACCTTTGCGACAGCCGGGAAGAAGTGTTACTTTTGTAGTGCTGGTGATCACTGCACCGAGGGAACGAAGCTTGTGATAACTGTATCAGAATCAAGAGCACGGGCACCAGCACCAACACCAACTCCAGCATCCAACCCCAGTTCCTACTCCCTACACCAGGATCTTCAAGAGATACTAAGATCCCTCCATATCAAGTCTGTTGAAAAAATGGGGTTTAATTATTTTATATCTTTACAAGAATATAATAATTTCGTTGAATAATTATAGAAATTACCCCTGTAGCATGCTTTACCCCCCCCCCCCCCCCCAAACCCCCAACCCCCC